GCTCCTGTGGCCTCCACGGTGCAACAAGTAGCGGTTTACTTGGACCTCTGCCTCACTTGTGGCCTCCACGGTGCAACAAGTAGCGGTTTACTTGGCTTCAGGAGTGGGGAGTCTGTTCAGGTTGTCTGAAATTAGGCTGTAGTTACCTAGAAGGATGGGCCCCTCTTTAGGGCCAAATATTTAAATTGTCCATACTTAGAAAACAAATACAATTAATCCTCATGAATATTGACTTGCAGACAGATTTCACATTTAGGAAAACAGACTGGTTTCACATTTCATTGCATTATTCCAAAAATTGGTTTCATTCTTTCTTGGATTAATCTTTGATACTTCCCACTCCCTCTTCCTTTCATGGCCCAAGAAGGGATGCCTACTCTATGTCCTAGAAATTCCTCCTCTCCATTTCTCTTGCCTCTGCCTCATTTCAGCTTTCCTCATCTCTCACCCATGCTGTGTCCCCCTAAAACCTCACTTCATTCAATGGTAGCATTCTACAATATCTTCCATGATGCAGCCAGAGAGATCTTTATAAAATACAAATATGACTATGTTTCTCGAAGCTTAAAATCTTTTAGTGATTCCCCACAGTCCACAAGGGAATGAAGAAACTCCCCCAAAAGTACAAATGGCCCTTCATGATCTGGCCCTGTAGACACAACAGAGGCTTTCCTGTGGCGCCTCATTACAACTCTCTGTGCCGTTGCAGGCATGGAATAGTCACAGTTCTCCAGCATCATCATAGTGCCATCTCCTGCCTCTCTGCACTTGCAGGCACTATTTTTCCCAGCTGAGATACTTGTGTTTACAATGAAAGTCTCAGTGACCAAATTATGTCCTTGATAAACAACTTTGGAACAACTAAGCAGTGGGAATGAGGTAAAAAGTATTTATCATATTTTAACTTGTTGAGCGAGTCAGGGAGAAAAAGGGGTGGATGGATGAATTTGGTCCCAAAGTCTAGAACTGGATCTAAACAAGAAGGAGTACTTGTTACACAACAGGGAAGAAGTGACATTGACGTTTTCCAATTGTAAGAGCAGGAAAATTTGGGCACAGTTCAAATGTGAGTCTTTAGCTACTTGAGAGAGGAGGGGTTTTCAAAATCATGAAGAAAAGATGGGGGTGAATCCTGCATCAAGACTACTGAGGAGATATTCTTGGGAATAGTTACTTTTAGGATTTCATACTAAAATCACCTAGAGAGCTTTATAAATTACTGATACCTGGTTCCATTCCCTAAGATTTAATTAGTTTGAAGTGTGCAGTGGGCATGGAAATTTTTAAAAACAGAATTATCAAACTGGAGAGCTCTGGGAAAGCTTCCCTCAGTGAGATTCATCCCAGGTATGCAAGAATGGTTTGGTATACATGAATCAACAAATGCGATGTATCTCGTTAACAGAGCCAAAACCAAAAACTATGTGATTATTTCAATAGATGCTGAAAAAATACTTAATACAATTCTATATGCCTTTGTGATAGAAACTTTCAACAAACTGGGAATAGAAGAAATATACCCCCAAAATAATAAAGGTTGCAAATGACAAGCACACAATTAATATCATACTAAATGGGGAAAAATTGAAAACACTTCAATAAGATCTGCAACAAGACAAAGACGCCTAATTTCACCCCCGTTATTTAACATCTTAGTGGAAGTCCTGGCCAGAACAATTAGGCAAGAGAAAGCAATAAAGGCACCCAAATTGGAAAGGAAAAATTCAAATTAGCTTTGTTTGTAGATGACGTAATCTTGTACTTAGAAAAACCTAAAGACTCCACCAAATGTCTGTTAAAACTTATCATCAGTGAAGCAGGGAAGCTGTAGCATGCAAAATTGACTTATAAAAATCAGTAAGATTTTTATACAACAGTAAAAAATCAGAAAAAGAAATCAAGACTGGAATACCACTTAGAATAGCTAAATAAAATAAAATGTGATACACTTGGTAATTAATTTAGCTAAAGAAGTAAAAGATCTCTACAAGATAAACTATAAAATATTCATGAAAAAAATTGAAGAGGACTCGAAAAAGTAGAAAGATATTTATAGTCTTCAAAGTCACGAATTGGAAGAATTAATGTTAAAATTACAATACCACCCAAAGCAATTTACTGATTCAGTGCAATGCCTATCAAAATACCAACATCATTCTTCACAGAAATAGAAAACACAATCCTACAACTTGTGTGGGACCAGAAATGACCCCAGATAGCCAAAGCAATCCTGAGCAAAGAAAACAAAGCTGGAGGCCGGGCGCAGTGGCTCATGCCTGTAATCTCAGTCTTTGGGAGGCAGAGGCAGGAGTATCATGAGGCCAGGTGTTTGAGACAAGCATGACCAACATGTTGAAACTCCATCTCTACTAAAAATACAAAAATTAGCCGGGTGTGGTGGCGCATGTCTGTAATCTGAGCTATTCAGGAAGCTGAAGCAAGTGAATCACTAGAACCTGGGAGGTGGAAGTTGCAGTGAGCCCAGATTGCAGCACTGCACTCCAGCCTAGGCGACAGTCAAAAAAAAAAGGAAAGAGAAAAGAAAAAAAAGCAAAGCAGGAGGTATCACATTACCTGATTTCAATATATACTACAAAGCTATAGTAAGCTCATCAGTATAGTCTAGCATAAAAACACATAGACCAGTAGAAGGCAATAGAGAACCCAGATATAAATTTACACATGTGCAGCCAACTCATTTTTGACAAAGTTGCTAAGAACATGCAATGGGGAAAAGGCAGTCTTTTCAGTAAATGGTGCTCTGAAAACTGGATAATCACTGGCAGGAGAATGAAATGAGACTTTCTCTCTCTCTCTCTCTCTCTCTCTCTCTCTCTCTCTCTCTCTCTCCATACACACACACACACGCACACACACACACACACATATATGTGTATATATATATATATATATATATATATATAAAAATTCATAATGAATTAAATACTTTATGACCTGATGCTATGAAACCACTAGAAGAAAACATTGAGGAAACACTATAGGATACTGGTCTGGGCAAAGATTTTTTTTTTTTTTTTTTTTTGCAAGACCTCAAAAGCACAGAAAACCGAAACAAAAATAGACAAATAGGATTACAACAAGCTAAAAAGCTTCTGCACAAAATAAACAATCAAAAAAAAAAAAAAAAAAAAGAGAGAGATAACCCACAGAATGGGAGAAAGGTTTTCCAAACTATTCATCTGACAAGGGATTAATAAACAGAAAATATAAGGACCTCAAACAATTTAGCACAGCAAAAACAAACAAACAAACCAAGTAACTTGATTTTAAAAATGGGCAAAAGATCTGAACAGAGATTTCTCAAAAGACGACATACAAATACCCAACTGGTATATGAAGAAATGCTCAACGTCACTAATCATCAGAGAAATGCAGTTTAAAACCACAGTGAGCCACCATCTCATTCTAGTTAAAATGGCTTGTGTAAAAATGACAGAGGGGCTGGGTGCAGTGGCTCACACCTGTAATCCAGCAGTTTGGGAAGCTGAAGCAGGTGGATTACCTGAGGTCAGGAGTTACATACCAGCCTGACCAACATGGTGAAACCCCATCTCTACTAAAAATACAAAATTAGCTGGGCATGGTGGCACATGCATGTAATCCCAGCTACTTGGGAAGCTGAGGCAGGAGAATTGCTTGAATTTGGGAAGCAGTGGTTGCAGTTGGCTGAGATCGTGCCATTGCACTCCAGCCTGGGTAACAAGAGCAAAACTCTGTCTCAAAAATAAATAAATAAATAAATAAATAAAATAGAACTGACATCTTACCATCAATTCCACTGTTGGGTGTATATCCAAAAGAAAGGATATCACTATATTGAGATATATCTGCACTCCCAGGCTCCCATGTTTACTGCAGCACTATTCACAATGGAGAAAATATGGAACCAACCTACGCGCCATCAGTGGATGGATGGATAAAGAAAATATGATATATATACACAATGGAATATCATTCAGCACAGGAAATAATGAAATGAAATTGTATCATTTGCAACCACATAGATGGAACTAGGCGTCATAAGGTTAAGTGCAATAACCCAAGTACAGAAAGACAAATATTGCATGTTCTCACTTACAGGTGGAAGCTAAAAAATGTGGATCTCATGAAGATAGAAAGTAGACTGGAGCTTTCCAGAGGTGAGGAAGGGTAGAAGGAAGGGAGTGTTGAAGAGAGATTTCTTAATGGGTACAAATATACAGTTTCATAGAAGCTAAGACCTAGTGTCTAATAGATCAGTAGGGTGAAAATAGTTTACAATAATCTATTGTATATTTCAAAATTAGGAGAGTAATTTGAGTGTTTCTGCATAAAGACAAATATTTAAGGCGTTGGAAGCCCCAACAGCACTGATTTCATATTTACAAATTCTATCAATGCATTAAATGATGTACCCTAAAACTATGTTGGCTACTATCTATTAATAAAAAAATAAAAATTAAAATCTGGCTAGCACTCTCCCCACCACCAGTCATCCGAAATCTTTCTGTTTCCCATGACTGCTTTAAAATGGCAAATAAGGTTTTCACATTCATTTCTCTAATTTGTGAGTGCCCCAAAGTCTAATTCTTATCCCAAGAGGCCTACATAGATGTGCTTATACACATATATTTTTATTGTACTTTAGATTCTGGAGTACATGTGAAGATCACGCAGAATTGTTGCATAGGAACATACATGGCAATGTGGTTCTGCAATGTGCAGCTGACGTCCATGTGGCAGGAATTGGCACTTTTCTGGTCCCTGAAGTTATGATTCACAGTTCACTACAAAGACACATTAGCTTGGGGTGGGGTGCAGGGTGAAGCAGCACCTCTGGATTGAAAACGTACTGACAGTGGAGAGTAGGGGATTTTTACTGCACCCAGAGCAGCCGCTGGCTACACACCAGGAAAGCCCCGTGGCCTGCGGGACCCGCCCCGCCCTCCTGCCCGCCGCCCGCTGTGCTGGGTGGCGCCTGGCCGGGTCCCGACTCCGCCCGCCTCCCCGCCCAGTAGGATCCAACATCCCGCGCAGTCCCAATACCTCTATTCCTGACACTCCCACCGGTCTCTCCTCGCTCCTGGGCAGCGGTGCCCACAACTGGGGTACGTGTCTAGCTTTGGGAGCTGCTCCCACAAACAGGCATCGGGTTATCCACTCCCGCGCCCAGGAAACGGTAGGAGCCCGGGAAAGCGAAACCTGCAAAGCGCCCTGAGCGCCCTTCCGGGGCTCCCTCCTTCACTTGGTCGCGGGCCAGGACCTCCCCGAGGGCAGGGGTGTGGCTGCGCCTGGCTGCGACCCCTGTGGGTCCTGGTGTAGTAGGGGCGGGTGTCGGGGACGTTGGCTTGGAGCGCCTCCAGGCTCAGCTCAGCTCAGCATCCAGGAGCTGAGAAGCTGGGGTGCGGACAAGGACGCCCCTGATTCTCTCTGGTGAAGTCCGCTTGGGGGTGGGAGGGTGCCGTGACGCCTCAGAACACCAGGATCCTAGGACTCCAGGACCCTGGGAGCGCGTACCTCCAAGGGTCCGGGAGCAGATGGGCCACCATGGGATGGGGGCGTTGCAGAAAGTTCCGTGCTGTAGCTCGGGGCCCCTTGGTCATAGGTGATCCAGCAGAGAGTAGTGCGTTGGAAATTTCTCAGGGGGTTGAAGACTCTTGAGAGAGACTTAGGGGTGGGTCCGGAAGTCAGCCTGGACCCTGCGCCTCCCCCAGCGCCTTTTCCAAGAATGAGCGCTTGTGTTTCACAGCCCTCTCTGGCTTCCGGAGTTTGGCCAACAAACACCACAGTACTTTTGAGAGTGTGCAGGCCTGCAAAGATCATCGTGAGGGACATTCCACGTCTTGTTTTTATGAAATTCACTGACAGGATAAAATACTTCAAAATTCATTGTCCTTAAGGTGAGATGGTGGGGCCTTTTAATCATATCTTAATTTTGTTGTATTAGATTATATTGTCACTTGTTACTACCTTTTCTCTTTCCCCCACCCCCTTTAAAACTAGGTTTGGAAAGCAGAACTTATAGAAAAATGATATTCAGATGCTGTCAGGCATACTCAGATGCTAGGGGTAAACTGGGTCAGGTGTGGGTCCTCTTGCTTCTGGGGTCTGATTGTGCCTGATGACAGGAATGTGGCCCAGAGCTGTCTCCTCCCTGTTGGGGTTTATAATACTGATGTGATAAGTAATGTTCTTATTTGGTTCCAGCCAAATGATCAATAGTATCTAACAGTAGAATAAAAATATTTTCAGATATACAATAAATAAAAATTTATGTATTCTGTCTTAGAAAACTATTGCTCCATCAAAAGAAAGGAATGAGCCCCAAAGCAGAAAAAACACTGGGGTTTAAAACAAAGGACATTGGCAAAGGGCTGTCTTAGGTGAGACATGCTAAAGAAAAGTGGGTTCAGAAAGGAATAGAGTCAGAAATGGGAATCATCGAGAGCTGTGGATGCAACACATTGGAATTATGAAAGAGACAGTAGGGCAAGTGCAGCCCAGCAGACAGTCTCTGAATGAGTGCAAGAATGTTTAGAAAAGAAAGGTGGGTAAGGTAAATACCAATGTAACTTACATCATAGCATATTTAGAAACCGAAATGGAGCATCTATCTCAGTTTTGTCACTGAGATAGGTGGTCTTAGAAGAGCAGCAGTATTTTCTGTCCAGTAGCAAAACTTGTAGGCTCTCTGAGTGTTCAGAATTGTTTTTTACATCTTTCCTCCTTTGAAAGAAAACCAGGAGAGGAGCTGATTCTGTGTTTAGGGACTGGAAAAATTCAAAATGAGGAAGATATTGTTGCCAGAAAGCAAGAATGTTTGAGATAGGGAAAAAAGAAAGTAACCAACTTAAAGAGATTCTCAGTAGAAAAGCTGTGACAATTTGAGCATTGGCCTGGGAAGGGATAGCATTAGGAGAAATATCTAATGTAGATGATGGGGTGATAGGTGCCGTAAACCACCATGGCACATGTGTACCTATGTAACAAACCTGCACGCTCTGCACACATACCCCAGAGCTTAAAGTATAATTTTAAAAAAAGAACAAAACAAACATCTGTTAACTGAAATGCATTGTTACTACAAAGCCAACAGTCTGTTAATAAATTCAGAAGAAGCAAATAAGATGAGTTTAAAAGGAAGTAGGAAATAATTTCGATATTATTTACAGGAAATGCTGTGTGATGGTCCATCTGTGGCTGCTGTGTAGAAATTCTGACTCTAAGCTCACAGGTTGACAGGCACGGTGGTTACACAAACCAACCTGAAGGCTTAAACAATAAACCAAAAGACATAGAGCCAACATCTGTGATACAACTCTCTTATGCAACCTAGATAGAGGAAAACCTCAAATGAGACCACATTTCAAGGAAAGGCATTAGGCTACAAAGAAAAAAATATAATTTAATGGTAGCCTGAGTGCTTGCCAAAGTTGCAATGAAGGGCCAAACCACAAAGCTCTTCTTAAATTTGCTTGGCTTTAAAAATATGGTTTGACTATGAAAATAAAGAGCAGCATGCCTTGATGAGTAGCCAGAGAGCTCAATCAGATTCTATGTCCCAGTCACCAGTCTGACTGCCCATCCTTTTGTTTTGTGAAAAGAAGGTGGTTTGTTATTAATTTAACCCCAGAAAATTATTAACATTATTATCAATTCAGGAAATACAGAAAAATACAGCAGATGTAAAGTGAATAAAACCCATGGCATTAACAGTGTTATGCAAGAAATAAGTTTTCTAATCACAGGGGTACTGTTTTGGGTATTTTGAAAACGTATTTGAAGGTCTCGGGATAATCTAATTTGCTAGGTTTATAAATGTGTATTTAGACTGGGTGCAGTGGCTCACACCTCTAATTGCAGCACTTTTGGAGGATGAGGCAGGTGAATCACCTGAGAGGTCAGGAGTTTGAGAGCAGCCTGGCCAACATGGTGAAATGCCATCTCTACTAAAAATACAAAATTAGCCAGGCGTGGTGGCATGCACCTGTAATCACAGCTACTCAAGAGGCTGAGACAGGAGAATCACTTGAACTTGGGAGGCGGAAGTTGCAGTGAGCCAAGATCACACCATTGCATTCCAGCCTGGGCAACAAGAGAGAAACTCCATCTCAAAAAAAAAAAAAAGGGTATTTAATCAATTTATGGTAGTTCATTTGTGTATATTAATGGTATGTTTGTTAACTTTGTTAGTTTGTTCTTAAATGTGTTTAAAACTTTAAAATATCTTATATATTAGACTTCATAATTAATGCTTAAATGTTCAAAACTATTTTATTTGCTGTTAGTAGGGTGCTTTAAAGTTTAAAGAAAAAGTTTATGTTTATCAAGTTGACAAACAATAAGTCGGCCACTAACTAAAGTATAACAGTAGGGAATGTTGTTCTCTGCTTATGAAAATTCTGCATTGGAAATGAAAATTTTACAGATTAAAGAAACCTGCACTCACCAGCAGGGTGAGAGACTGTGGGAGATGAGCAATGGGACTGACAGATTATTTATATGTGGTTGAGCATTTAAAGAAACTACTGAAAAGGTTTGACTGATTAGTGAAACACTTGGGGGGAATCTGCCATATATCCAAGGAAAGCCAAAGAAGGTGGGGTGGAAGCAATATTAACGTAAGGAAAAACAGAGTTATGTGAGGACAGGAATGGATTCCTTGTTCACTACTCGGCTTAGCTATGAATACTATTTAAATGCAATAAAGCAAACATTAGACAGAGGAGGTGAAGCATAGTGACCGCAGTTAGTGATGTAATTCCCTAAATTAGGAAGGCAATATAGATAATGTCTAAAATTGTTAGATCAAAAGCAGTAGTATACACGTATTATACCTACACATAGAGGTAAATGCCAGGAGAAAGAGCAAGCTGACTTGTGATTGTTGCTTCTAGGAAGTTGGGAGAAATGGGAAGGTGCCTGGGTTGATTTGTACAATGTCTCTCCTAGAATTATTTGACTTTACAACTAAGTGCCAGTTCATTAGCAAAATGACTATACAGCACTAGAAAGAATATATGCATATTGCAGAAAATGCAAAAATACAGAAGGACATAACTAATGTCAAAATTGCCCATTGCACAGAGATATTTGATGTTCAGTGTTTCCTTCCAGTCTGTTTATTTGTGAATTATACGTATGTGGAACTTGAATTTACACTTAATATTAATCTGCATTTACATTGAATCACAGATGTGACAGAATCTAACTGGTTCTCTGTGGTAGGCCATTTCAAGTTATCTCTGTAGCACGTGAAGTGTCTCAGTTGTCATCTTTCTGCATAACATGTAGTGTCAGTACATGTGAGTTTTACTTTCAGTGAAATTCTTTGGAATGAATTTTTTTATTCTGAATGTATAACATTTTCTTGGCATTTTCTTTTTTCAACCCTTCCCCCTTCCCTCTCTTCCTTCCTTCCTTTTAAAGACATAGTTCTAAATTACACTCTGGAAATATTGGCGTCCCAATTTACATAATCAGTTGTAGAGTACAGGAAGGAATACCTATTTTACCAGTACTGGAAATTAATAGTTTTTATACTTAGGAATTTCATGTTTTAAAAAGATAGCTTTAACTTGCTGTCTGCTTTTTCTTCTTCTCTTTTTTAAGAAGAAGAAATGACCGTGGGGAGTTGACCCATGGTGACTAAGGAGTTAGGAGGAACCCTAGAGCTACAGGGTTCCTCAGCAGCCACAGACCTGGTTGCAAATCCTGCTTTGCTGTTTGTAGCTGGGTGTTCTCAGAGGCAAGATATTAACACAGTGAAGACTCCGTTTATTTGCTTGTAAAATGCAAATATTCACTGTACCTATCACATCAAGTTGTATGGATTAAATGAAATCTTGCAACAAAAGCCCCAGTTTAGCTTTTGTGTGTGTACCTATTTGTTCACCGAGGCAAAGTATCCACTATAAGTATTAATAAATAACGTGAAAATGCAATGCATAAGAAGCCCATAGTGGTGTAACATTGTTTTTGAGTCCATTGTTTCAGGTTCACTGTCATGGATGCTCTATCAGAAGCAAATGGGACCTTCGCATTACACCTTTTGAAAAAGCTAGGGGAAAACAACTCGAACAACATATTTTTTTCACCCCTGAGCATATCATCAGCCTTGGCCATGGTCTTCATGGGGGCAAAGGGAAACACCGCAGCTCAGATGTCTCAGGTACCTAAAGCCACTTCAAGACAATAATAACTGCTATTAAGTTATCAGTAGTACTGGTCTTTCATGTTCCAAATCTCAAAGAGATTCCTCTTTTAACAGTTAACTGTGCCAGTATCACAGGGATGTGGGTGGAGAGTTAGCAGGATGGAGCATGTTACCACTGCCTGACCATTTCTGGTGACCTTAGATCACTCCTGTGGGTATTTCCACAGGGAGCTGGGCTAGAAGGTCCAAGAAGGTCTCACTTACATGTCTATGTCTTGGTGCTGCCTGGTAGCTGGGGCCTAAGTACCCTACAAGCAAGTCTTTTCATTCCTCTAGGGCCCTTCCACATGGCCTTTCCTCAGGGAAGCTTGTGCTTCCTTACACCACGGTAGCTGGGTTATAAGAAAGTGCAAGTGGAAGCTGCCAGGCTTTTAAAGGTCTAGGCTTAGAACAGAGCTACTTCTGCATTCTCCATTTAAAAGTAAGTCATAGGGCCATCGCAGGTCCTAAAAAAGGGAAGAGAGACTCCATCTTTTGATGTCAGGTCAGGAGCACCATGTAGATGCAGACAGAACACATGGTTGGCAGCTGTGTTTTTAGACAAAGTACCACAAACAGTGAGCATAAGTAACCTGAATCATTTTGCTTGGGTTTGCAAAAGGCATATCCAGTCATACCAATATTTAGATAACTTTGGTTTTCCATAGGAAGTGATTATAGGGAGGCTTAAGAAGAGCTATCGGTAGCAAGACTGGGTAGATTTTAGCACAGTTTCTATCTAATAGTCCATTCCCACACTGCTATGAAGAAATACCTGAGACTGGGTAATTTATAAAGGAAAGAGTTTTAATTGACTCACAGTGCCACATTCTTGGGAGGCCTCAGGAAAGCTACAATCATGGCAGAAGGCGAAGGAGAAGGAGGCACTTTCTTCACAGGGTAGCAGGATAGAGTGCGTGCAAGCAGGGGAAATGTGAGGCACTTGTAAAACCACCAGATCTCATGAGACCCACTCACTGTCATGAGAACAGCATGGGGGAATCTGCCTCCATGATCCAATTACCTCCACCTGGTCTCACCCTTGACATGTGGGGATTGTGGGGATTACAGTTCAAGATGAGATTTTGGGTGGAGACCGCTAAACCATTTATATATGAGATTAATCGTCTTTTATGCCATAGAAAGGATCTGAGAATCTCTTAATGTTGAATTTAGCGTTGTGCCTATTTTTAAGTCAGGAAATATGGAATATGTGTATTTTATTGTTATTATTTTTTAATTTCAGGCACTTTCTTTTAGTAAAATTGGAGGTGAAGATGTAGATATTCACCAAGGTTTTCAGTCACTTCTTGCTGAAATTAACAGAACTGACACTCAGTATTTGCTTAGAACTGCTAACAGGCTCTTTGGAGAAAAGTCTTATGACTTCCACACAGTAAGTTGTACTTGTGTTTTATTAAAAAAATAAAAAGAGCAATGTGATGGACAGTAGTAGAAAGAATGTGGGCTATGAATTCATACAGGTGGGCCTGAATTCACAACTTCATTCGCTAACCTCACACAGCTCCTCTGATTGTTTTACTGTCTGTAAAATAAGTCTTATAGCAAATACTGACCAGACTTTCACGAAGCTTAAATGAGTTAATCTTTATAAAAGAACTGACAGACACAGAACATAGCAAAATTGGAGATGCATCAGCCAAAACAAAGAGAGGATCAAAATGCGTATTTCTAGTGATTGCTTTGCAGATGTTGTTAACTTTTTGTGCATCCAGACACTTCTCTAACTTTTTATGCGTTTAAATATTTTGATTTGATTTTTAGATACTGCGAATCTTTTAAAACATATTTTAGCTGACTACCTTGGCTCTATTTGTTGACAGGGCTTTAATGATTTTTAAAAATTTTTTAAAAACAAAGGTGCTCAAGTAATTTCTGGTTAAACAAAAATGCAAGTAATGCATATACATCAGCAATCCTCATTAACTTCTAACTCCAATACTCCCATTCTCAATGTCTGAGCTTTGATAAATTTGGAGTGTACCCTGCTTCACACACAGAAAGGCTGCTTTTTGAAGTTTCCTCCCTACCTTGTTATTATGCTATATATACTATACATATTGTTTTATACTTTGTTTCCTTTTACTTAATAATATGTCTTCAATTCTTTTCATCTCAGCATATGTGTATCTATGTCACTGTTTTTACCCATTTTCTGGTATTCCTAAGTATGACTGTGCCAAGATATAGAAAACCTTTCCCTTACTGATGAGAATTTAGGCTGTATTTAATCTGGGCCATCACAAAAAATAATACCCTTGTACAAGATTTTGTGTTCATGTTCACTAGTTACTATCTAAAATGGATGTGCAGAAAGGAGCAAGGGAATGAGACTTTGAAGCTTTAATAAATATTGCCAAATCACTATTACTAGTGTTGTAGCCATTTACACTTCCCAAAGGATATGTGTGTGGTGCTGATTTCCACCTACTATCAACAGCACTGCATACTGTAAACCTATAAACTTTGGGAAGGGCGGGGACAAGATATCCGACCAGAAGCAGCTCATGTGTACCACATGAGAAGAAATAGAAAAGCTAATGAACATTGACCCTGTACACTGATCAATCATCTGAGCAATTACATCGGGTTCCATCAAGGCAGAAGGGGTACACAGAGAGTAGAGAGGAAGGAATCAAGGAACTAGTCCGATTAAGCTTACTGTTGAGCCAGGAGATTCTCTTCAACACAGGAAAGGACGAATGAGTGAGAGCCCCCAGGGGGATTCATGCTGTCTACCAGGACCTGTGCATGATTGAGAGGGGAAAATCCCCGACCCCCAGTACCCCACCACCACACTTCTAGACTGAGGCAGAGAGCCACCTGGACGTATTGTGGGGGCAACTTTCAAATCCAAGAAGACCGCTACAAGCCTTGGACCCTGAAGCAGACCATCACTGGTGCCATATCACCAACAGAAGCCACAGTTGCAGTGCCTGGGAGCAGTAAGTTTGCTCCACCCCTTCTTTTTTTTTTTTTTTTTGGAGACGGAGTTTCGCTCTTGTTACCCAGGCTGGAGTGCAATGGCAGCTCACCGCAGCCTCTGCCTCTTGGGTTCAAGCAATTCTCCTGCTTCAGCCTCCCGAGTAGCTGGGACTACAGGCGCATGCCACCATGCCCAGCTAATTTTTGTATTTTTAGTAGAGACGGGGTTTCACCTTGTTGACCAGGATGGTCTTGATCTCTTGACCTCATGATCCACCCGCCTCAGGCTCCCAAAGTGCTGGGATTATAGATAGGCTTGAGCCACCACGCCTGGCCCTCTTCTTACTAGACAGGGCTTGGTGCCAGCTTCTGCCCAGTGGTCCTGCTTTTGTGTGAACTGACCTGGAGAGCACAGCCTCATGTTTTCCCAGGAAACACCCAGATGACAAGGTGCATGATCCCACCAACCACTTATACCTAGGAGGGCAATGCTTGGCAGAGCTTCTGACCCAGTGGTCCCACTTCTGTGTGAACTCAACTGAAGGGTGTACTTTTATCTTGTCCCTAGAAACACCTGAGTGGCAAAGATATTCAGGACCTGAACTCAACACTTGATCAATGGACCAAATAGATCTCTGCAGACCCCTCCACCCCAGAACAATAGAATATACATTCTTCTAATCTGTACATGGCATATGCTGTAAAACTGACCACACAATTGGGCATAAAACAATACCTAGAAATTCTGAAAAATGAAATCATACCAACCTCATTCTTGGACCACAATACAATAAAAATAGAAATCAATGTGAAGAAAATTGCCCAAAACCACACAATTTTATAGAAATTGAACAACCTGCTCCTGAATGATTTCTGGGTAAATAATGAAATTAAGACAGAAATCCACAAATTCATTAAAGCTAATGTGAACAGACAAACACCGTAACAGAGTATCTGGGACACACCCAAAGCAATGTTAAGAGGGAGGTTTAGAGCTCTAAATACCCACATCAGAAAGTTAGAAAGACTCCAAATTAACAATGTAACATTGCAATTGAAGGAACTAGAGAAACAAACCCGCCCCAAAGCTAGCGGAAGACAAGAAAACCAAAACCAGAGCTGAACTAAAGGCAATTGAGATGTGCAAAATCATACAAAAATCAGTGAATCCAGAATCTTTGATTTGTATAGCTAGTGGTCTACCTATATGATTAATTTGAAAGAATTAATGTTTCAGATTTGTGTCAGAGATGACACAAACAGATGGAAAAATATTTAATGCTCAGATTAGTTCCTATTCAACAAGTGTTGCTGGAATAACTGTCTAGCCATATGCAGAATTTTGAAAGTGGAATTCTTCCTTACACCATGTACAAAAATCAACTCAAAATGGGTTAAAGACTTAAATGTAAAACCTAAAACTATAAAATCCCTGGAGGATAATCTAGGAAATACCATCCTGGACATAGGAACTAGCAAATATTTTATAATGAAGACACCAAAAGCAACTGCAACAAAAACAAAATTTGACAAATCATTTGAAAGAATTAATCATATAGACAGACAACTAGTTATACAAATAAGGAAAAAAAGAGAGATCATCGGAATCAGAAATGACAAAGGGGCATGCCCACTGACCCTGCAAAAATACAGAAAGCACTCAGAAACTATTATGCAAACTTAGAAATAAGTAAATAAATTAGGTAGAAAACCTAGAATAAATAAATAAATTCTGGCAAACATGCAACCTCCCAAGATTGAATCAGGAAAAATTTGAATCTAATCTTCATTGAACAGACCAATAACAACTTTTGAAATTTAATCAGTAATAAAAAGCTTACCAACCAGAAAAATACCAGGACCAGATGGACTGACAATTGAATTCTACCAGATGTCTAAGGAAGAACTAGTACTATTTCTACTGAAACTATTAAAAAACAAAACAAAACAAAACAAAAAAACTGAGGAGAAGGGACTCCTATGAGGCTAGCATCATCCTGACACCAAAACCCAACAAAGACAGAATGAAAAAAAAAAAAAAGAAAGAAGAGGCCAGGTGCGGTGGCTCACGCCTGTAATCCCAGCACTTTGGGAGGCCAAGGCGGGTGGATCACGAGGTTGAGACCATCCTGGTCAACATGGTGAAACCCCGTCTCTACTAAAAATACAAAAAATTAGCTGGACATGGTGGCGTGTGCCTGTAATCCCAGCTACTCAGGAGGCCGAGGCAGGAGAATTGCCTGAACCCAGGAGGCAGAGGTTGTGGTGAGCTGAGATCATGCCACCAGCCTGGGTAACAAGAGCGAAACTCCGTCTCAAAAAAAAAAAAAAGAAAGAAAGAAAGATAGAAGAAAGTATCATGCCAATATCCTTGATGAACATAGATGCAAAACTACTCAGCAGAATATTAGCAAACCAAATCCAGCAGCACTTCAAAAAGTTGGTCCAAAATTATCAATTAGGCTTTATCCCCTTGGATGCAAGATTTACTTAATTTAAACAAATCAAAAAATAAACGGGACACAAAAAAACTGCATGATCATCTCAATAGATGCAGAAAACCTTTCTATAAAATTCAGCATCCTTTCATGTTAAAAACCCTCAACAAAACAGTCACTGAAGGAATATACCTCAAAATATTAAGAGTCATCTGTGAAAAACCCACAGCCAACATCTGAATGGGCAAAAGAAGTAAGCATTCTCCTTGAAAACTGGAACCAAACAAGAATGCCCTCTCTCACTAATCCTATTCAAGTGGAAGTCCTAGCCTAAAAAATTAGACAAGAGAAAGAAATGAAAGGCATCTAAACAGAAAGAGAGGAAGTCAAACTATCCTCTTTTGCAAATGACATGGTTCTATACCCAGCAAACCCCATAGTTCTGCTCAAAAGCTCCTTGATCTGATAGATAACAACTTCAGCAATGTTTCAGAACACAAAATCAATGTAAAAAAGTCAGTACCATTTTTATATGCCAATGACATCCAAGCTGAGAGTCAAATCAATAACATAATCTCATTGTAAGTAGCCAAAAAAAAAGAAAAAAGAAAAAGCAATACCTAAGAATACAGCTAACCAAGGAAGTGAAAGACCTCACAATAAAAATTACCAAGCAGTGCTCAAAGAATCAGAGATGACCCAAACAAATGCAAAAACATTTCATGCTCATAAATAGAAAGAATCAATATTGTTAATGTGGCCACACCATCCAAAGCAACTTACAGATTCAACGCTATTTGTATAAAACTACAATTGCATTCTTCACAGAATTAGGAAAAAAAAATATTTTAAAACTTACATGGAACCAAAAAGAGAGCCCACATAGCCAAGGCAATCCTGAGCAAAAAGAACGAAACTGGAGGCATCATATACCTGGCTTCAAACTATATTTGAAGGTTACAGTAACCAGAACAGCATGGTACTGGTATAAGAACAGACACAATAACCAATGGAACTGAATTCAGAGCGTACACACCTATATGTGACAAATAATGCTACACACCTATATGTGACAAAAACAACCCACGGAGAAAGGACTCCTATTCAACAAATGTTGGTGGGATAATTGACTAGCCATATGCAGAATTTTGAAAGTGGACTTCTTTCTTATACCATGTACAAAAATCAACTCAAAACGGATTAAAGACTTAAATGTAAAACGTAAAATTATAAAATCCCTGGAAGATAATCTAGGAAATATTATCATGGACATAGGAACTAGCAAATATTTCATAATGAAGACACCAAATGCAACTACTACAAAAACAAAAATTGACAAATGGGATCCACTTAGACTTAAGAACTTCTGCACAGCACAGACACACAAAAACTATAAAGACAGTAAGCAGACAACCTACAAAATGGGAGAAAATATTTGCAAAGTACACATTCAGTAAAGGTCTAATACCCAGAATCTATAAAGGATTTAATTTTACAAGCAAAAAACAAATTACTCCATTAAAAAGTTGGCAAAGGACATAAACAGACACTTTTCAAAAGAAGACATATATGTTGCCAAAAACATATGAAAAAATGCTCAATATCCCTAATCATGAGATAAATGCCAGTCAAAACCACAATAAGATACCATCACACAGCAGTCAGGATGGCTATTATTAAAATGTCAAAAAATAAAATGCTGATGAGGCTGCAGAGAAAAATAAACAGTTAGTGAGAATGTAAAATAGTTCAGTCACTGTGGAAAGCACCTTGGAGATTTTCAAAGAACTTGAAACAGAATTTCCATTTGACCCAGCAAGCCTATTATTGGATATGTACCCAAAGGAATATAAATTCTTCCATCATAAAGACACATGCACAGGTATGTTCATTCCAGCACTACTCACAAGAGCAAAGACATAGCATTGACCTAAATAAATGTCCATCAATGGTAGACTAGATTTTTTAAAACATGGTACATATACACATTGGAATACCATGAAGCTATAAAAATGAATGAGATCAAATCTTTTGCAGCAACATGGATGGAGCTGGAGGACCATTATCCCAAGAACTAACCCTGCAACAGGGAACCAAACACTGCATTTTCACACTTATAGTTGTCAGCTAAACTTTGAGTGCACATGGACACAAAGAAAAGAGCAACAGATACTGGGGCCAGCTTGAGGGTGCAGGGTGGAGGAGGGTGAGGATCAAAAACTACCTAACAGGTGCTATGCTTATTAGCGATGGATGACAAAGTAATCTGTACCCCAGTCCCCCACAACATGCAATTTACCTATAAACAAACATGCACATGTATCCCTGAACCTAAAATAGCAGTTTAAAAAAGATAGCCTGAGATAAAAAGATGACAACATATATGATAGACAAGTGCTAATACACATAAAGCAAGAAAGCACCAAAAATACCATTTTGATTATTAATGGAATTGAATAGATTTTCCTTTTTTTTCTAATCAAACTGTTTAATCAGCTGTTTATATTACAGAACAGAATGTAAAACTTAAGTTCATTTAAAAAATTTTTTACTTTAAGTTCCCCAGATACAAGTGCAGAATGTGTAGATTTGTTAAATAAGTAGACATGTGCCATGGTGGTTTGCTGCACCTATCAATCCATCATCTAGGTTTTAAGCCCCAGATGCATTGGCTCTTTGTCCTAATGCTCTCCCTCCCCTCACCGCCCAACCCCTGATTGGCCCTGGTGTGTGTTGTTCCGCTTCCTGTGTCCATGTGTTCTTATTGTTGAACAGCTTTTCTATGTGAATTGGACATTTCTAACTTTTCTGTGAATCACCTGTTTAATTTCCTTTGCAGATTTTCTGTGAGGCTGGATGTCTTTTTCTTAGTGAGTTACAAGAATTCTCTATGTTTGGGATATCACTCTTACTGTGTTATATGATTTTTTTCATTATTTTTAAAACTTGTTTCAGAATGTAAATTAATTGTTTCAAAACCAACTGGTATACAAGTAAGGTTGTGAAGCATAAAGTTCAATCTTTATAAGATTTGTACATTATAGTGTGATTTTATGATGTATTTCACTTATTTTTATAGTCTTAGCTATTATTTAGGTTATTACCACCTTTTATTAGCCCTCTATATAAAGAAAAACAAAACTCCAACATACAAATATACACTGTTGTAGACATTTTAAGAAAATAATTGATGTTTAAGATGTCATTTTGATATTGTAACACACACAAAAAAAATAAGAAATACTTGTCAACTATTTCTCCTTAATTTCTTATTCATTTATTTATTCTTATTTCCAAAATCCAAGACCAATAGCAGTAGATAATTAGATGTTCTTTTAGTTTTATTCTTCATGGCTTCTAAAATAGTAAGTTAATTTAGCTGACAATTATTTTAAAATGTTTAAAAGTTGAAAAGATCACCTAGGGCAGCAGCAAGTCGCCAACATGTGATTTATCAGTTTTATTTCTGATTGTTTTCTTAGTTTGAGAAATTCCAAATTGGCAAAGCCTGAACTGTGGGAGGACTAAAAAAAATGACGTACATAGATCAGTTATGCAGTGCAATGTCATGAAAATTCAAAAATGTTACAAGAAAAAGTAAAAATAATTCATCAGGTATTCACAGTGATCTTGTGAGGTGTAGGTATTACTGCTTCCCTCTTCTACCAGACAGAACATGGAGGCATAAAGAGAGTAATAAATTTTTTGAAGATCCCACAGCTAGTAAGTTGCAGAACTTATGTTCATAACCACTGTTTATTTCCTCTCCAATGCTGTACTGAAAAGGAAGTATAAAATTCCGAAATAAAAACCAAAACCTGAATAGCGGAATTAAATATTTACCAGTGAGCAATAGGAGAGAAAGACTAGGAAACAATTTCATAGTGCATGGACAACAAATTAATTATTCAATCCATTTAATTTCCTCCACAGATTCTGCTTTTATATAGCATAATGTAGGTCTTCATGAATATCCTATAATTTCATAGAGTAACTGATTACAATTTGGACTCTTTAGCAAAGTTTATCATACTTGAAAACATCCAGAATCACAGCCACTGTCTACATGTGGTTATGAACATTTCAATGTAATTAATTAAAGTAAATGTTTATCTCCTCAGTCCCATTAGCCATATTTTTAGCACTCAATAGCTCTATGTGGGACCACTCTGGACACCAGATCTACAACCTGCCCAGCACTGCAGCAAGTTCTGATAGAAACTGCTGGTGTAGTAGTATATACTCTACTCACACAATTTATGGACCAACAGACCCAGTTTTATACTCTGTTATTCTAAAATGTAGATGTAGACATAGCACTTGCTGTATTAATCCTTACTCAACAAATCTAATGGTTTACAAAACCACAGATTCTATAGTCAAAGAATCTTGAAGTTTTTTTTAAAGATATTATTTTTAAAAGCAGTTTTAGGCTCACTAGAAAAATTGAGCCTCTCCCATTATTAACTAACTCTCCCATAATGAACTCTCCCATCATCAATATGCTATATACGTGCATAACCTCTCCTATTAATTAACATCCCCACCAGAGTGGTGGGCGACATCTTAGTTGCTTCCACCTTGGGCAACTAGGAATAAAGCTGCTATGAATATTTGTGTGCCAGTTTTTCTCAACACCAAGTTCGGTAAATGCCAGGGGTCATGACTGCTGAGTCATATTGCTGCACCATATTTTTAGGTTTATAAGAAACTGCCAGACTGTCTTCCAAAGTGACTGTACAATATTGCATTCCCATCAGCAATGAATGAGCTTTCTTCAGCATTTAGTGTTGTCAGTGTGTTTTCACTTTCATTTAGTTCAAAATGTTTTTAGTGTCTTTTGAGATTTTTGTTTTGATTCATGTGTTATTTAAAAGTGTGCTGTTTAATCTCCAAGTACTTTTGAATTTTTCAGCGATCTTTCTCTTACTTATTTCTAGATTAATTCCTTTGTAGTCTGAAAGCAGACATGACATGATGCTTATTATTTTGAATAAGATAAGTTGTGTTTTATGGCCCGGAATATGGTCTGTTTTGGTGAATGCTGCATGTAAGCTTGGGAAGAATGTGTAATCTGCTCTTGTTGGATAAAGTAGTCAAGGACAATTATCTCTACTTATTTGGTGGTTGTTGTTGAGTTCAACTATGTTCTTACTCATTTTCTGCTTTCTGGATCTTTCCATTACTGATAGAGGCATTTGAAGTCTCCACTTACCATAGTGGATTCATCTATTTCTCCTTTCAGTTCTGTTTTTGCCTTTTGTATCTTGATGCTCCGCTATTTGGTGCTTGCATGTTAAGGATTGTTATGTCTTCTTGGAGACTTCTCAGTGCCTTTGATTATCTCACTGATGCACTGCCACTCTCTTGAAAGATCCAGGAGCTGATGAAATGTATTTGTTATGTAGATCATTATATTATTTAGTTTACAAGCTAAGATTAAGAATAGTTGAAAAGAATTTGGACTTTAGGTTAATTTCTCACATTTGCAATTTATATATGGTAAATAATAAAGTTATTGATTTTCTGATGTGTCACAATGAAGAAGTAAGTTGTTGGTGTTATTTCATTAATTGTGAAATTATGCGGCTCAATTTTTCCTAGTCTTTTACAGATTCCTGTGGCAAATTCTACCAGGCAAAGCTAAAACAGCTTGATTTTCTGAATGATACAGAGACGTCCAGAGCACACATCAACACCTGGATTGCTGAAAAAACCGAAGGTAAAAACATATTGCTATTTTATTTCAATAACATTTTAGACAGTCATACAGTCAGTTTCTTTATAAAACTGTCACATATGACAAGGAGTGCTGTTTTCTCTAAATAACTATGCAAACTTTAAGCGCTTGCTTCTGAAATACTGCTGGAGTGCAGAGCTTCTCTCTAGCTTTATCCCTGCTCTGATCATCTGTCTGTGATATCCCTCAGTATGCAGTGCATCTCTTCCAGAAGAACCTACACATTTTTACTGTTAATATTAGGTGGGGTTTCTATTAACACATAGCATTAACTTTGGAATTTAAAAGCGTCCCTCTCTGGTATTGCCTATGCTCTGTGGTTTATCTATGCAATGTGGCAGGATGCTTGGCCATGCCCATTTTTTGTTGTTGTTGTTTTGTTTTTTTGTGAGACAGAGTCTCACTCTGTTGCCCAGGCTAGAGTGCAATGGCGCGATCTCAGCTCACTGCAAACTCCACCCCCCAGCTTCAAACAATTCTTCTGTCTCAGCCTCCCAAGTAGCTGGGATAGCTGGGACTACAGGCACCTGCCACCATGCCTAGCTATTTTTTGTATTTTTAGTAGAGGCAGGATTTCACCTTCTTGGCCAGGCTGGTCTCAAACTCCTGACCTCAAATGATTCATCCATCTCGGCCTCTCAAAGTGCTGGAATTACAGGTGTGAGCCACCATACCCAGCCAGTCATGCCTTTTAAAATCCTTAGTTCTTAAAATGTTCTTATACTTGCTACAACTACTCACGTATTTGCCAGTCTTTTATGTGTCTTTCTTTAAGCCTCAGGCATCAATCATTCCCTGCTATATATTATCAGATCATCCTCTTCTCATTACTATCTACTTGTTTGTTTTATGCATCTGTTCACATTGTGATATGTTTATTACAAGAGCTCTAGTTCAAGTTTCTGTTCCAGTGTTGTTACTATGGTTGTGAGGATAAGCATCCCTTCACATGATTTTATTTTGGGACACCATGAATTACCTTCACGCATACTTGATTTCTCAAACAGAAGAAATCATCTGGATATCCCTCCTGATACAATCATCTGGGAATACTTTTAGCTAAATGGTTTTTAAATTTTTCTTTACAGGTAGAATTACAGAGATGCTCTCTCCAGATTCAGTTGATTCATGGACTAAGATGATTCTTGTGAATGCCATCTACTTCAAAGGAAACTGGGAGAGTCAGTTTGTGAAAGACGGGACCAGGAAAATGCCTTTTAAAATTAGCAAGGTAATTATCTTGCAATTTCAAAGGTGATTCTTGGGAACACTCTCTGTCTTCATATTGGCTTTAAAGCTTGACTCTTGGTAGATTTGACCATGACCCTTTGGTCATCCAGCAGCAGGACTCCCCTACAAACCTATGGGCCTTTCCTCTACCTTTCATTTCCTTTTTGTGTCTTATCAACAGTGGCTACATACTCCCAGGCTTCTGGTCCAGCTTCTGTCTCATCTGTATTGTGGTCTTTCTATATTACACAACTGAGTGTATAGTCCTTGGCTTCCCAAAACTTGTGAGATAAACTCAAATGAATGGTATGATGTGTGAGGCTCTTCGTAACCTGGATCTCACATATTTCTCTACTTCATTTCTCATCAGTACCTACATGCTCCTTTCTTTCATTCACTGTTCCTCTGGAAAGCCTTTGACAATGCACCTCCCCAAGCTGTCTCTTTGTCCAAGCTGTCACAGCGATTCCTTCCACTCTGTGGTGGCATTGCAGTGGTTGAATCAGGTGTCCCTTTTCCCACTTTGCTTGTTGCTGTTTGAGTGAGAGACTGTTACCAGTGCTTAGCTCACACTTGTGGTCAACAAGTACTGAGCCAATAAATTATGTTCAGTCTTCTGTCAATAATAAAGATGAATAAGCACAAAATTTTACCTAAAAAACAGGTGAGCAAAAACACATACACAGACCAGACATGGAGTTTAGCTACCTCCAACTTAGAATACATTATTTGCAAAAGGCCCTTTGTCTTTCTCTAAATCTGGTTTATTCTTTCTTTTTTGTTTAACTCTAGAATTTTCTGGATATATTCAAAAGTAGTAGAATAGATTAAGTTAATTGTTAATCACTGGTTAAATCTTCCATGCCCACTTGCGCCTGATTGAGTCTTCGGTTTCTCAAGGAATGTATTTTCTTTCTAGCTTTATTTTGAAATGAACTGTTCCATTTTCCCCTGGAAAACTATATCTTTCCTTAAGTTTTTTAAAACAAGATGTATGCTAGGATTTCATTGAACCTCAATTGACAGAAAATTCAACACACAAGGTTTAAACTCTTGGTATTCTTCTTCCACAATAGGAATTCTGGAGGTGGGCAGAGGCCAAGCCTGATGTGGCTTTAGGAGAAAGTTTCAGGGACTCACTCTCTCTTCTGCTCTGTCGTCTTTACTTCCCTGACTTACTTCCTCATGCTCACAAGCTGATTCAGACATTAAACACACGATGCAGGCAAGAGAAAGCAGGATTGACAGAGGGGGAAGAGTAAATCTTCTCTTTCTGAGGTTCTGGCATTTTTCTCATGAAGGAAAGCTTTTTCTTTCTCACTGGCCACAATTATTTTATGCTATAAACAGGTGAAGAATTCCGTTTTGCTTTCTAGTCTTTACACACAAAAAACCCAAGTTGCAATTAGTGGTAAGTGTACCAACCTATGTACTTTCTCAAAGGGCACAGAGTTTGAGATGTTAGAAATTTTCATTTTAATTCTTTAATTACAAAATGAAGTAAAACTTATGTATATAATTGCATATTTAGTGAATCATTCAGTTACTACAAATGACCAAGTGTGGATCCTTTTATATTGCAAGACTAGAGGTTTTGGAAACTGAAAGTGGGGAGAGGAATTTCCTAGACCAGTAGTTGGCAAACTATGCCCAATGGTCAGATCCAGTCCATCGTTTATTTTCATAAATAAAGTTTTATTGAAACACAGCTATGTTCATATGCTAAAATGCTGTCTATACGTGCTTTCATTTTAAACAGCAAAGTTAAGTTCCATTGAGTGTCCCTAACTTGAAAATTCAAAATCTGAAATGCTCAAAAGATCTGAAACTTTTCTACCACCAACATGATGCTCAAATAAAATGGTCAATGAAGCATCGTGCATTTCAGATTTTAAGATTAGGGATGCTCAACCAGCAGGTATAATGCAAATATTTGAAAATCTGAAAAAAATCCAAAATCTGAAATGCTTCTGGCTCCAAGCATTTCAGATAAGAGATACTCAATCTGTAGATGCAACAGACACTGTACAGACACCAAGCTAAAAATGCCTACTATTGGGCCATTTCCAGAAACAAGTTTGCTGAAACCTCACTAAAAGTGACAGAACTAAAGAAGAGGAGGATATTGATGGCTGAGTATTAGTTTGTGTGAGCAACAATGTGAAGATAAAAGCTGAAACACAAATATTTTGGGGTTCATTTATTTAATATAGAATTATATATCTGAGAACTGGGGCTATAAAGTATTTTTGACTGTTACTCTAATATTCAATAAATTCACAGTAGCTGCTACTATTAACTTACAAAGGACTCAGGAATTGAGCAGAATTGTTGTGCAGAACATAATCATGGTCCTCGGATCTTTCCTACTGTCTGCCGATGCATTAGAAACAAATGTGGTATTCTCCTAGTAAGTTGTGTTAATTTTTCTTTCACTATTTTTGTTGTTAAGTTTGTCTATTCATTTATTTAATGAATAATGTTTGAGTACTCACTATGTGTCATGGATTGTGTTAGGTACTATTCTGGACATGTTCAAAATCTGCAAAGCATCCCTCTCCTCATGAAGCTTACATGTTCTTGGAGGCTTCCAAGACAGTAAATATATATTTAAAAGCAGTGGTATGGAGACAGGTACAAAGAAAAGGTAATAGAAAGTTGAGGTGGGGCTGGGTGCCGTGGCTCACACTTGTAATCCCAGCACTTTGGAAGGCTGAGGCGGTCAGATTACCTGAGATCAGGAGTTCGAGACCAGCCTGACCAACATGGAGAAACCTCATCTCTACCAAAAATACAAAATTAGCTGGGAGGGGTGGAGCATGCCTGTAATCCCAGCTACTAGGGAGTCTGAGGCAGGAGAATCACCTGAACCTGGGAGGCAGAGGTTGTGGTGAGCCAAGATCATGCCATTGCAGCCTGGGCAACAGGAGTGAAACTCTGTCTCAAAAAAAAAAAAAAAAAACAAAGTTGAGGTTGGGCAGCACAACCTGAGGTAAGGGTCAGCAAGGAAGCCCTCACTGAAGGAGATGGTATTTGAGACAACAACAGAAAGAAGTAAGGTCATATGTGTTACAGGTTCTGGGGGAATGAGTTCAGTGGGCAGAGTTGAGATAGTTCGTCCATGGATCCGTGAAGCAGCCACTGTGATTGTAGCAGACAAGCAAAGGGAGTGCAATAAGAGATGAGATCAGAGAGGAAGTGGAGGACAAAGTCCTGGCACGATTTGCTAGTTATTTCAAAGACTTCAGCTTTTGCTCTGAGTCAGGAGGATGTTCAATTGAGGAGTGATATGACTTATGTTTTAACGGGGTCCTTCGGGCTCCTGTGCTGAGAATAATCACAAGGAAGCTACGGACAGAAACAAGGGAATTACTCAGGAGCTTACTGCGCCATCCCAGACTAGGATGATAGCAGTGGAGGTAGGATGCACAGGTTAGATTTTGGTTACATTGTAAAAATGGGGCTGATATAATTTGCTAATGTGTCAGATATGTGGTTTGAGACAAAGATGGGAGTCAAGGTTAATTTCAGGGTATCTGACAGCTGGAAAGATGGTGTCCCCATCAACTGAGATGGGACAGAAAACAGCCGATTTGGAAGGGATTGTGAAGAGCCCATTGTTACAAGTTAGGCTGGAGGTTTGTTTTGTATGTTCAGATGCTGATGTCGAGTAGGTAGCAAAATGGATGAGACTGGACTGAGAAGGTGAGATCCAGGCCAGAGGTGCAGACTTGGGTTTTATATTTAAATTCCTGAGATTAAATGAAATTATAGGGGAGAAAAGAAATCTTTTTCCTCTATATTCTCAGGTTCTTTGGCTGGGTCCCTGTAGAGTGACAAAAAAGAATTAACAAGAGTGAAACAAACAGAAAATTATTAACTTGTGCGTCACACATGTACATGGGAAAACTCAATGATGAGTAACTTAGAGGTCATTAGAATTTATGGTGTTTTTACCCAACATAGTAGGAAAAAGGGAAGGGAATAAAGGGCACTTGGGAAAAACAAATGCCTTTTGTGAAAACATACATGGGTCCTTTTGGAGCAGAATCAATGGCAGAGGTAATAGTCCTGTGACAATGATGGGTGTGTGCAGACTTTTCATCTCTAAGAAAATTAGGATTGTTACTGAGGAAGAGAATAATGACAATTGAGTTCTTTTGGGAGGTTCTGCTTTTAGGCAGATGGATATTTCAGGAACTCTGATGCCTTCAGTTCAAAATATTCTTAAACCAAAGTGGTATATTTCAGAGTGGCATATCCTGATCTCCTTCAAGCTCACCAACAGAAAGCAACGTAAGGATTGAGCCCTGGGCACCCTGGTGTGTGGAGACTGAAGTAATGACCATGAGCCAGTAAAGGAAGTGTCTAATTCGGGGTTCTAGAGACCAAAGAAAGCAAGCGTTTGTATCAGCAGAAAGTGGCAACTCTGTTGATTATGTCCAATACTTGACTCTTGTGCTTCAACTTAATGTATATCTGTTTTCTTTCTAGAACAAAGAAAAACCTGTGCAAATGATGTTTAAGGAATCCGCTTTTAAAATGACCTATGTAAGGAAAATATCCAGCCAAATTCTAGTGCTTCCCTATGTTGAACAGGAGTTGAATATGATCATCATACTTCCCAGTGAAAACGCTGATTTGAAAATGGTAAGGAGTGTTTAAAGAATGCATTTCATCATAGTAAAGGTTCTCACAAGCTTTTAAGGAAAAGAGAAACCTTGAAAATTTGTATTTACCAGTGTTTCCCTGAATTATTGGGCTATATGCCTTTTTCTCTTTTTGTGATTACATCCAGTGGGATGGTGTTCTAAGTGTTGAACACAATTTAGAAAATACTCTTATGCTAGAACAGGCTCAGGTTGGAGCCAAACCAGGTCAGAGTTCAATGTCCTGCTTTACAAGTTAGAAATTTGTACTCTCTCAGGCTTATTCCTATGGAAGGTGGTGGCAGTACCTCCCTATGAGGAATGCGGCAGAATGCAAGGCATGGTGTATGAAATGCATTTGTTTCAATGCTCAGAGTATGCCATTGACTAATATTAGTAGTCTTCTCCACAACCTTGCCCCATTGTTGTGAGTCTGCTCTTTAGAAAGCAGTCATGTGGGGAGCAGCTGCTGTGACTCAGCATATTACCTAAGGATCTTGTTAGAAAGAAGATTCTGATTTTGTAGGACTGGAGTGGAGGAGTCTGAGAATCTGCATTTCCACCAAGTTCCTAGGAGATGCTGAGGCTGCTGGCCCCTGGACCACACTGAATAGCAAGGTTGTAGAGAGTCAATGAAAAATGTTACTTGGACAGTAATTTGAATTTTTAGCAAACGAATCCTTATGCTTGCAATGGATGAGTTGGAAGTGTCAAGAATGGAGACAGGTCAGAAAGGAGGTTGCTATGCTTTTCAGACAAAACATGACAAGGGAGGCAGAGATGGAGTAAGGGCCAGATGAGAGAGAGATATGGGATTTTAAATTAACAGAAAATGATGAGGGATTTGTTGGAAGAAAGTTTGGATGGAGGAAAAGGCAAGTCTGAGAGGTCCTACCTCAACATGCTTCTGTTCAGGTACAACACCAAACTTTGTGAGAAGAGCCGTTCTCATGCAAATGTAGTCAAATTATAAAATTCTGCCTCAGGGAAATGGTCTGACTTAGTTTCTGGAAATGAAGAGGCAAGTGCAGAAATATAAGATCAATTCATACGTGAATGGTTCAGCATTACTGTGCTGTCTTCCAGACATATGCAGTCCGATATGGCAGCCACTGGCCACCTGTAACTATTTACATTTACATTAGTTAAAATTAAATACAATTTTAAAAATAAAGACTTCCTTTATACTACACACACTTCTAGTGCTCCGTAGCCATTTCGGCTCATGGCTATCACAGTTGGCACCGTGGCCACACATCATCAGCATCATAGCAGAAAATCGTACTGGGGCAACACTGATCTAGACCCTAAAACATCCAACACTCTTCTTCCAGGTTGAGAAAAAACTTTCTTATGAGAGATTCATAGAATGGACAAAGCCAGAAAAGATGGAAGCACGAGAGATGGAAGTTTTATTTCCTAGATTTAAACTGGAGGAATCTTACAACATGGCAGATGTCCTTCGCAGTATGGGCATGGTCGACGCCTTTGAACAGGACAGGGCAGACTTCTCAGGAATGTCGTCTAAGAAGGATCTGTACTTGTCCAGGGTCATGCACAAGTCCTTTGTGGAGGTCAATGAGGAAGGTACAGAAGCGGCAGCAGCTGCGGAAGACGAAATGGTTTACTGTTGCGCCAGTTACCGCCCCAGGTTCTGTGCAGACCATCCCTTCCTCTTCTTTATCCAGCACGTCAAAACCAATAGTATTCTCTTCTGTGGCCGATTTGCCTCTCCAGAAGACCATAGGTAGTCATTGGATATAGCCCTTCTCTTTCCTCTCAGTGATCTACATTTCCTTTACTCTTTCAAGTGTGCCTGTGACCCAAAGTGACTTTATTATTGCAGCAGTCAAAAATGAGATATTAGGAAGCTAATTTGGAAATTCCTCGTTGAGAACTCTTGTGTGTGTTTGCATGTTGAATGTTTTCTAGGGTCTTTATTTGATAGTCTCTGAGAATTTTGTGGTCACTTTGCAGGTAGTATCTACAACCACTCAGTCAAACCCCTCTGTTTGAAATGAGGTATTACCCACCTCCACTCCTCCACCAACACATTCCAACTGTCAGAGCTATTTGCCGTCCCCTCATTTTGTGTATGGTGACACCCTCACAGTCTGCTATGCTTCTGTTTTCTTAAGTACAAGAAGATATATGTTGTTTTCTGTCTTCTCTGTTCAATAGTATTGACATATATGGACCCATTTTTAATGAAACGGTAGAAAACGAAATGGAGAGTGTGGAGGAAGTATAGTGAGCAGGACTCAGAATTATCAGAAGCAGTCCAGCATGGTGGCTCACACCTGTAACCAACACTTTGGGAGGCTGAGGTGGGCAAATCACTTGAGGCCAGGAGTTTGAGACTAGCTTGGCCAAACATGGTGAAAGCCCATCTCTACTAAAAATACAAAAAGTAGCTGGGCATGGTGGCGTATGCTTGTAGTCCTAGCAACCTGGGAGGCTAAGAAGGCAGGAGAATTGCTTGAAGCTGGGAGGCGGAGGCTCCAGTGAGCCGAGATCATGCCACTGCACTCTAGCCTGAGTGACAGAACATTCTGTCTCAAAAAAAAAAAAAAAAAAAGAGATGTTCAGAATCGACTTCTATTCCAGAATTTTACCAGCTCTTCAGAAGCTGGCACAGAGGGTGAGAGAGGAGTTAACTGAGACCAGTGAAAATTCAGCCCTATTTCCCAGGTGTTTCTTACACCCCTCTCTCTCTCTCTTTCTCTCTCCCTCCCTCCCTCCCTCCCTCCCTCTCTCTCTCTCTCTCTCTCTCTCTTTCTTTCTTCTTTCTTTTTGAGATGGAGTTTCACTCCTGTTGCCCAGGCTGGAGTGCAATGGCACAATCTTGGCTCACCGCAAACTTCGCCTCCCAGATTCAAGCGATTCTCCTGCCTCTCCTCCCGAGTAGTTGGGATCATAGGCATAGGCCACCATGCTGGGCTAATTTTGTATTTTTAGTAGAGACAGAATTTCTCCATTTTGGTTAGGCTGGTCTTAAACTCCTGACCTCAGGTGATCTGCCTGCCTCAGTCTCTCAAAGTGCTGGGATTACAGGCATGAGCCACCCCACCCGGCTTTCTGTTTTATTCATAGTTTGCATTCACAGGGATCAGTGGGTCACAAGCCTATTCAAATGTATAACCATCCACTTCCTCTGAAAATTTACACTTGCTACCAGGAGGCAGAGATGATTAGATATGTTCTATTCATGGTAATGTAGTTTGAGACAGCTTCATGGGTACACATCACATGGCTTTCTATATTATTTAAAATATGTTTTGAAAAGCAAGCTAAGCTTTTTGTGGTCATTTGCGTTACAGGCTTAAAATGCAACTGTTGTGATGAGTGATAAGGGAACACACTGATGAGTTAGATTGAAGAGGGAGAGTTACATTGTTTTCTAGGGCACAGCTAAAAAGATTTATTCCATCAACCCCCTTGCAGCCAGAAAGACCCTGAGCCCTCAGAACTTCACAACCCATATTTTCATTCCATAACTGGCCCACTTTCCCCTCTGTACCCAAGCCAGCTACTTAGCTTCAGGGAGAGAACGGAACTGGGGATTACAAGGAAGCATCCACGTTGTATGTGTGCTGAGAGTGGAAAGAGAGAGTCTCAGAGGTTGCTGTTACTCTCATTTCTCTTCCTCCTCTGCCCAACACTTGGACTTGAAAAGAAAACAGGAAGGTGGGGAGTAAACAGTCCATGTGATTCTTCCACTGCAGGGAGAGCCTCTGAGTGTTACAGACAGGGGCAGCTGGGTGGCGCCCTGTTCCTCAGGGAAAGACACGCCTCTTGGCACTGCCTTGAGGATAGTCCAGTCAAGTGGAGTAAGAGTTGGGAATGGGGACTATAAATGGAGAAGCCTCTAACTATCCAAGCAGGAGGGTGTTTCTTTTTCCTCTTTCCTGGAATGAGGATAATCAAATCATATTAATAGTGAATTACAAAATGAATGATAATGGTTTTATCTGTAATAGAAATATAATGTAATCAGACTTTAGCCATGTAAATCATAAATCATAGAGAAAAACAATATGCATATTGTTCCTAGAGGAATGAATATGAATGTTTGTCTGTTGTATCTGAAGGGTTATCACTCAATATTTTAATTCTATCTTGTAAGGCCTGAAATCCCTGTGCCGCTTGACATCTGTGGGCTTCTCAGTTTCTCAGAGGCCTGGCCATGTGGTCCCCTACTCTTGTTAGATATGTGTACTCTATTCACCCACTGAGCAGGAAGGCTCCTCACCCTTCTTAGCTCCCGGATCAGCCAGTCAGCTGTACCCCATCTGGGTCTCAACCTGGCTCATTCCCTACCAGCCTAGAAAATTATTCAAACAAGCCTGTCACACCTGGAGGAGCCTGGGTTCATCTCTTCCTCTTGTAGTACAAAGCCTGCCTCCCACAGCCCCTGCTGGTTCACTCTGTTCCCAAATGCAGCTCTCCTGTGTCCCTGTAGGGCATGTGGTGTCCTCCCTCCCTGGATTGTGAGCAGATAGGCCTAATAAACTGCTGGCAATTTCATTGTCCTTGTCTCATGCTGTGTATCTGGTTATCTCCCACTACTTAGTGGGGGAGATCCGTCCTTCACCAACAAGGTGAATATGAGATGATCAAAATAACTACCCTTCCGTGAAAGGTCCAGCCTCCCAAATAATGATTCCGTGTCTTTTGTGAAATTGCACTAAGACATTTCCATTACACTATGTAGTGTTTCTTGTAAGTATCTACAAAATGAATTCCATTTAGAATTGAGTTCTAGGAAAAAGTTGATCTCATCTCTTCAGAGATGTTTACTCCATTGAACATTTTACATAGATTATTTATCCTCAGGGATAATAAACTCGTGAGGAATCTGAGACTCAGAAGTTAAGTAACTTTAACAAGTTCTTGTAGCTAGCAATGAGGTAGAACATGGATCCAATGTCTGGTAATGCGAAAAACTGGAAAGTTACTCAAACAAGCCTGGTACATCCGGGAGAGCCACAGGTAATCTCTTCCTCTTGTTATTGTGAAACTTGCCTGTATCAGCACCTACCAGAAGGGCAGCTGTCACCACAGTGCAGGAGGAGTATGGACCAGAAACCTGACTCCCTTTAATATGAAGTCAGATTTCTGTGGCTGTTCTCCCATTGGAAAAGCGGGAGTCAGAAACTTCCAAAAGCACATCATCCTGGACCCAGGGATGAGCACCTGGAATATGGACCTCAGGTCAGGTGCATCTGGGCTCTATGAACTCAGCAAGTGTTTCTACCTTCTCCAGGAGTTCTGGATGGAGGCCCCGAGAGCCTTTTCTCCTTCTGTGCATCAACAAACAGGAACTCTAAGGCTCTTGCATTCCTCTTTTCAAAGAGGGATGCAGGGCCACAGTTGTGAAGGAAGGGTCCAAAGCAGGGGATGGTTTGGAGGCTGAGAAGATGGGGGCTGTGCCTGCATGAAGTCCCCTCCAGAAGCTGATGTGGCTCTGCATGTGAAAGGTGGCCTTTCCTTTCCTGACTTGAAGCTTCTGTGTTGAAGGAGATGGAGGGGGCAGGGGACTGGAGGGAGGTTTCCAGTCCTCTGGGCTTTCTGCACAAGCTGATGTTGACCTGATATTCGCAGGCCATAGCATGGAACAGGCACATCTAGTGGCTGTTGGGGAATGCAGCACAAAATTCCTCTCCCTCCAATACTAGTGTTGATTTCAGAAGTAGTCTTCTCCCTCCCTCCTTCCCTCCCTCCCTCCCTCTGTCCCTCCATCCCTCTGTCCCTCCCTCCCTCCCTCCCACCCTCTCTCTTTCTCGACACAGAGTATTGCTCTGTCACCCAGGCTAGAGCACAGTGGTGTGATTTCAGCTCACTGCAACCTCCAGTTCCCATGTTCAAGCAGTTCTCCTGCCTCAGCCTCCCAAGTAGCTGAGACTACAGGTACACACCACCACATCCAGCTAATTTTGTATTTTTATTAGAGATGGGGTTTCACCATATTGACCAGGATGGTCTTGATCTCTTGACCTCTTGATCCACCCGCCTGGGCCTCCCAAAGTGCTGGAATTACAGGCGTGAGCTACTGCGCCTGGCCAGAAGTAGTTTGCTTTCTCTAGCTGCTTGTGACCAAGCATACAATGTTTTATCAGTGAATTTCTTACATGCTGTCCTTGAAATGAAGGATTCAATCTGGAGAGGATCAGGAAACGAGGGACAGATTCATTAACATCCATATTTAATGACAGGTTTGCCTGAGAACTCTATTCTTTGCTGTTCCGGGTATCAATTTATTGTCGATCAGCTCTAAATCTACCTTTGTGGACTTTGTGATAGTAAACCTGGATCCTGTGACAAGAACTTCACTGGTTGGCCCAGTGTTCGGCTCTGCCAATAGAGGGAGCGAGAGAGAGACACTGTAAGGAGATAGGAGAAATGCACTTTGTAGACTCTGATCTTCCTAGGATTATTCAGTGTAGGCACCCAGCAGCCCACTTGGTCATCTGTAGCCACATCCTCAGGCCATGCTTTCTTCACACAATGGCCATTTCCGCATTTGGTCAAGATGCAAACGCTGGCAACTATGTCTCTACAGGCATTTGCCCGCCCACATCCTCCAGCAAGGGCAGATGGCTTCTGCGAACCAGCTCTGTCCCTCTGGCAAGTTTCATAGCCACTGCAGACTGCATGCATTGTGGCAGCCACAGCTCCAAAGAGCTTTGAATCTCAGCCTTGGGACATTCAGTTCTATTAGCTTGCTCAGGTGGGTATAATAAAATATCATAGGCTGAGTGTGGTGGCTCACACCTGTAATCCCAGCACTTTGGGAGGCTTAGGTGGGCAGATTACCTGAGGTCAGGAGTTCGAGATCATCCTGGCCAACATGGTGAAACCCTATCTCTACTAAAAATACAAACAAAAACAAAAACAAAAAAACCCTAAAAAATTAACTGGGCATGGTGGCACCTGCCTGTAGTTCCAGCTACTCAGGAGGCTGAGCCAGGAGAATTGCTTCAACCCAGGAGGTGGAGGTTGCAGTGAACCGAGATCATGCCACTACACTCCAGCCTGGGCAACAGAGTGAGACTCTGTCTCAGAAAATAAAAATAAAATACCATAGACAAGAGATTTTAAATAACTGGCATTTCCTAGCATTTTGGAGGCTGGGAAGTCCAAGATCAGGGTACCAGGAGATTTGGTTTCTGATGAGGGCGCTATTCCTGGCTTGTAGAAGGCCACCTTCTAGGTAAGCCTCACATGACAGAGATAGCAATTTCTCTCTTCTTCTTTTAATGCCACCAATTCCTTCAAGAGGGCCTAAGGCTCCTGACTTTATTTTACCCCAATCAACTCCCAAATGCCCTATCTCCAAATGCCATCATCTTAGGGGATAGAGATTTTACAAAAAAATTTTGTGAGGACATAATACAGTCCATAGCCTATATCTTTTCCTAAGTCCTTAGTTCTTTTTCTCTTACCCCAAGACATGAAGTGGCAGTTTCTTTTCTGTACCTTCTACATCTGCTCCCATTACAGTGTTTTTTAAATCTATTACTTAATAATTCTCAATATTCTCCTCTCTTCAAATCTCTGATGTAGTTTTTGTTTGCAGAGTGAACAATGCCTGATATAACTGAATAAGCATCTCTCACACTATTATGAAAGAGAGGGGCAGAAGTTTGAAGTCCACAGTGCGGGTCTACCAAACCCATCCTGGCTTGAGGGAATGCAGATATTAGAATAACAACTCCATTAAAAACTGATAATTCTGAGATTAATGCTGAATTAGGCAGGACACTAGAACAACTGATATGAACTCACACTGTTTCAACAATCCATGGTAACTCTGTTGATAAACAAAAATCTGAGAAGATATCAGAGATCTACCATTTGACTTTCCTATCTGCAACACGTTCAATCAAAGCACAGAAAGAACATTTAGAACCCAGAGACCTTTCCAATTGCCTTCAATCTATTTGTCACTTAATACCTTCCTTTAACATCCTTGAAATTAATGGACAGACTGACAATTCACTAATAAGGGATTAATGGCAGTTTCCAGGCAATGTCGTATCAGACCTTTTTCTTTTATAAGTTCTTGGGAATACAATACCAGGCATATTAATGTAACGCTTTTCACATTAAGGTCCACTGGGTTCTCCATATCCTTGGTCAGCAGACGCTCTACAACATTTATGTTTCATTGCTTACATTTGTCTTGGTAATAATCAAGACATTTTAATATAAGCATTCTCTTAGTCTGTGTTGTGTTGCTATACAGGAATAGCTGAGGCTGGGTAGTTTACAAAGAAAGGAGGCTTTTTTGGCTCATGTTCTGCAGACTACACGAGAGGTATGGCACTGGCATCCCCAGGTTTCTGGAGAGGGCTTCTGTGCCATGTCAGAACACAATGGAGAAGGTCAAAGGGGATGCAGGCACATGAGAAGAGGGACCAAACATGGGAGGAAACTTACTGTATAACATCCCACTCTTGACGGAACTAATGCATTCCTTGCGAACCAGTTCTAACTCCCTACCAGGAGAACCGAGGCTTTCACAAGGAATCCACCTATATGACGCAGACACCTGTAAGTACACACTGGCATGCCAGGGACTAAATCGCAATGTAAGTTTTGGTGGAGACAAAAATCCATACCCAAGCAACAGCCAGTATATTTTGGATGATCTGGATATCTACTTTATAACTCAGTAGTCTGTTTGAATTTATGATTGTGCTGTTAGTAAGCAGTACTCATTTGTCTGGGGAATGTTAATGAAAAATGACAGAACTAGATCCTATAAAATGATTCATTAACTCAAAGGAGTAACCAAACAATATTCAAGAAGGTTTTAATTGTTTGAATAGAGAGAAGTGGTGGGAAAACTGAAAAGAGAATGCATTTGTGAACATTGAATGTACCCGATAGGATAGGCACACTGGAATCAAAAGAATCGGCACTAATGCAGGCAGAACACATTTCAACTTAAAAATAGGAATTTCCCTACAGCAACACAGCACCACAGATCACAGACAGGGACACTCCATTTCATCATTTAGCCCAGCTTCTCCTAGAGAGTGAACATGACATTCCTTAAGTGTTATCACAATCGGATTAATTTTGCTGACATTTATTCATTACAATTAAACTCTTTTCCATCACTGAATATGTGAAACACTGTCCCAATTGTTTTGGGGCAATATTATTACTGCAGGGTGTGGCAGAAAAAGTAGTTCTCTGAGAATGTGGCCATATCTGACTGTAGTGTCAATTCTCCCATGAATTCTTCATGGGACTCTGGGCAAATCACACAAACTATCTCTCTTCCACCATCCTCTCCTACAAAATATAAGGAACAGCATCGACAATATGATGCTTTCAAATGCCTTCATTTTACCATGCTACCTCTGTTTCTCTAGCATTAATTAGCAGAAGCAGGTGTGTTTTGTTTTTGTTGTTTTTTTACCTAACACTTTCTGAAAACTCGGGAAGCCTGCTGGGAATCTCATGGGAGACTGAGAGGTGTGGCCGGGCATGTATGAAGTAAGTAACTGTGGCTGGAGAATATGG